ACAACTCTAGGGACCTAGTTTCTGAGTCAAAGCTTGGAAACAGTTGAGATCCCCACCTCATAACCATACATAAAATTGCTGGGCATGAAAAATCTAATATAGCTATGCTACAAGGATTGGCCTTGGGGTCTGGCATATTCCCTTGATCTCATTTGGAGAATAGTTTGCCATGATTGCTTAGGTATCCAGGTGAGCGATACAGGCCCTCTGGGCCTCTTGTGTTATGTTGTTATGTCTGGTAAAAATGCTGTTTTTCCTGGCAGGTGGCAAAACAGTGGTATGACTTTGACAGACAAACATTTACTTTTGTGAAGAAGCTCAAGGAACCAACCAATAGAGTCATGTTCTCACATCAGACCGACTTCGACGAGAATGGTCTTATTTACTGGATAGGAACTAATGCCAAGTAAGTACAATGTCTTGGAATCTATACACTGATATATAATATCACTGTATAGATTCCATGATATAGTAGTGATATATGCTTTAATTAAACAAATTTAGATTTACCTGTTAACTACCTGTGTCATTATAAGTTGACCAGTGATATATATATATAGTATTGTTCGATTAAGAATAAGTTATGGTCCGAAATATTGATTTTGCACGTTTTTTACGAAGTTTCTGAAACCCTAGACAATGTTGTATTACCTGTAATCTGTAACTACAAGTATAATGGACATGTTAATTTGTCATTTGACCAGAGAAAATACAATAATACACAACAACATGTACTTATATGTTTTCCTTATATTCTGTGTATTTAACACCAAATTTAGATTTACCTGTTAGCTACCTGTGTCATTATAAGTTGACCTTTGACCTGTGCTATCTGTTAAAGGAGCGCCTATGAGTGGATCAATCCCGCCCACTATGGACTGGTAGTGGTCACATCATCGGAAGGCAGGAATCTCCCATACGGAAAGCTGGAGGACATTCTCAGCCGGGACAGTGCTGCCCTAAACTGTCACACGAATGATGACAAGTATGTAGGAATGATGCTGTTTTATCCAAGTACTGATTCTATTCTCATAAAACATGTTTTTTCCAGAATTATGTCTAATAGATTTAAATCGATGCAGGTTGTTTTTTGAATATGTAAACATACTTTTTTGGGACGATAAAAGCATGTCTTTGTCTTAAAATGCTTAATATTATTTCGCTAAGGTTCACCTAGTGTTACATTAATGAATTAAGCACATTCACTTTTCCTTGATTTAACTAAATATGTAAAGACAGATATACTTCATTACTGTTTTCAGTAATCACATTAACATGATCAGGAAAAGTGATAGACTGTTATTTATTTGACAACAGGAAGGCATGGTTTGCCATAGACCTGGGGGTGTGGCTGATCCCATCCTGTTACTCCTTAAGGCATGCTCGAGGATATGGCAGGTGAGTGTATTATTATAAGTCATAGGTTACAGGTCATAATGGTATTGGATCACTGACAGTATTGTAGGTATGGTTTTGGTTGTTATCTAGAGCATCTTTATTCTTGTTTGCATAACATATCAAGTGGAACATCGATATAACACTTAAAAGCTGTTGAAAATCCTTATTTCTGCTGAGATAACAAGCTTTTGGCTAAAATAAAAAAACATGTTGGAGGTTTTAATTCCATTTTCCTAGGGATGGGTAATATCAGTGTAGTGAGTTAAGTGTCTGTTATAGGTAAACTGTATTTAAGTGATCGAGATATTGGGAGTATAATGATATGTCATTTGTATGAATGATTGAAATGAAAACATTTGTATGATTTCGTGGAAGGTCTGCCATTGGGAACCGTAATGACACCATTTGTATGTTTTGTGTTAAGTTCTGCCTTAAGGAACTTTGAAATGATGACATATATAGGATCTTAAATGAGTTTTCATTTCATATGAAATTTTATGAAACGAGCCCTAGGAGTTTTAATTTTTGCAAGCCATGGCAAGCAAAAATTAAAACTTTGAGACGAGTTTCATAAAAGCTCTTATGAAATGAAAACAAATTTAAGATACTTTTTTATCACATAACTCAGAAAACTTACGTTTTGACAGGTTTTAAAGCCAAAATGTAGTGGGCTTATTCAAACGAAGACGGCTATTTTGTTGCGCCATTCACAATTTATGACGTCACATCATTGTCCATATTATGATGTCACAATTGATTTCTGACTGGCACAGCCAATGAAAAACGCTCCAGGGTATATTACACTAGTGACATATGTAAAAAATACTACACGGGCGAATTCACTGGATAACAGGCCGATTATGTGATAAATGTTTGTTTTGTGTTAAGTACTGCCCTGAGGAACTTACGAAATTATGACATTTTTATGATTTGTGTTAAGGTCGTGCTCTGAAGAACTATGAAATTATGACATTTGTATGTTTTGTGTTAAGGTTGTGCTCTGAAGAACTATGAAATTATGACATTTGTATGNTGACTGGCACAGCCAATGAAAAACGCTCCAGGGTATATTACTCTATTGACATATGTAAAAAATACTACACGGGCGAATTCACTGGATAACCGGCCGATTATGTGATAAATGTTTGTTTTGTGTTAAGTACTGCCCTGAGGAACTTATGAAATTATGACATTTTTATGATTTGTGTTAAGGTCGTGCTCTGNCCCTAGGAGTTTTAATTTTTGCAAGCCATGGCAAGCAAAAATTAAAACTTTGAGACGAGTTTCATAAAAGCTCTTATGAAATGAAAACAAATTTAAGATACTTTTTTATCACATAACTCAGAAAACTTACGTTTTGACAGGTTTTAAAGCCAAAATGTAGTGGGCTTATTCAAACGAAGACGGCTATTTTGTTGCGCCATTCACAATTTATGACGTCACATCATTGTCCATATTATGATGTCACAATTGATTTCTGACTGGCACAGCCAATGAAAAACGCTCCAGGGTATATTACACTAGTGACATATGTAAAAAATACTACACGGGCGAATTCACTGGATAACAGGCCGATTATGTGATAAATGTTTGTTTTGTGTTAAGTACTGCCCTGAGGAACTTACGAAATTATGACATTTTTATGATTTGTGTTAAGGTCGTGCTCTGAAGAACTATGAAATTATGACATTTTTATGTTTGTGTTTAGGTCGTGCTCTGAAGAACTATGAAATTATGACATTTGTATGTTTTGTGTTAAGGTCGTGCTCTGAAGAACTATGAAATTATGACATTTTTATGATTTGTGTTAAGGTCGTGCTCTGAAGAACTATGAAATTATGACATTTGTATGTTTTGTGTTAAGGTCTGCCCTGAGGAACTGGCAACTTCAGGTGTCTAAGGATGGGACCACATGGGACTCACTTCTAAACCATAAGGATGACACTAAACTCAATGAACCCGGGTGAGCATGCTAGTCACAAACAAGGATTAAACAAGTACTTTCTGTTGCATCATGTCTATATTGGAGCTTATGAGACGTTTTCAACAGAAATCCTGACGTGTCTATTGTAAAAGTCTCTGAAATCAAACCTGTCGGTGGGGCTGTATTTGATGTACAAAAAAAGAGAGAATAGATTGTAATGATTGATAATGTACAAACTCTTTTTTGAGAAATATGGCTAGATGAACCACTTAAAGATAGAGTGTATATTGTAATGGTGTAATGAAATGTATCTCAGGCAATCTCCTCTTGGTAGCACAAGAATCACATTCATCTTGAAAAACTTTAATTTTTGATCGGATTTATATATGTGCAAGACAACCATAGCCTTTGTAAAAAAAATCTGTTTATGATGTTGGAGTATTGAATGGCTATCTTTATCCTGAATTTGACAGGTCTACAGGTACATGGTCACTGACTCCGTCCAAAGAGGAGACTCAAGGTTGGCGCCACATCCGGCTCCAACAGACTGGCAAGAATGCCAGTGGACAGACCCACTACCTATCTCTGTCCGGGTTTGAGATCTATGGCACAGTGACAGGTGTCTGTGATGACTTAGGTAGGTATAACATACACCTGTAATCATTTTGGTATTAGAAAATTAGCTTGTATTGAAGTGGTCTCTGTGACATATACCTCAATAACTGTATAAAACTAATATCCGAGTTGCAGATATTGTATTAGCTCCTGCACAAAGGAAATGTTAGATATAAAGTTGTATGTCTGTATACAGGCAAGGCTGCAAGGGAAGCTGAGGCAAACCTGAGACGACAGAGGAGAATTATCCGCACACAGGTACTGAAGCAGATGGTTCCCGGGGCTCGTGTGATGCGTGGTATGGACTGGAAGTGGAGGGAGCAGGATGGCAACCCACCAGGGGACGGTACCATCACAGGAGAGCTCCACAATGGTAAATAACTCTGGCTTTATCTTGTCCTCACTAGATTATTAACAGTGGTAACGAACCCTGGCTATATCTGGTCCCAAGTAGAGTAGTAAGCAGTGCAAGATATCTCTCTACACTTCTAGTAGAAGGTGCGGAAGTGGTGTGTAGGTGTGTTGTTGTATAATTATTTACTTTATGTTGGACTGTATATATGCACAACTGATGAGCTGTAAAGCTAAAGGAAGTAAATGAACTTGGTCAGTAGCCCACATTATGTCTGGCCCCCACTAGAGTAATAAAAGTACCATGTCTTGATTCACTTAATCATTCTCGAAGGCTGTATACAAGGGTGTCTGTTTTGTTTACATGCTGTTACTGCTGAATGACCCTGTTAAAAGGTTTTAAACAGGTTACAATTCCATCTTTTGATAATATTCCATTTGATATTGATTTAAGATTTCTGTTTATAGCCAATGACTTTTGCACTTTTCACAGGTTGGATTGATGTAACCTGGGACTCTGGTGGCTCAAACTCCTACAGAATGGGGGCAGAGGGCAAATATGACCTCCAGCTCTCACCCAATCACGACCCAGAGAAGCTCCGCCCTGTTGTCAGGACGACAGAGGCAGGAGCAGTTGGAGGAGCCAAAGTTAAGGTCACAAGTTCGCTGGTATCTGACAAAGCCAAGGTACAATACAAAAACATGGTAATATATTGTTTACTCTTAAGCTTGAACATTACTTTGATATGCTAGTGGATATCATCCTTGCAAGAAAATAGCTTAACTTGGTGTCCATTTTAATGGTCATCTTTTTTCTCAATTGTTTTAAACATTTATCATAAGGCTGGCATATTGGCACAAGTATAAGATTAAGAGCAATTGTGTGTTCCTAGTTACTGTGATTGGCTATGTGTATATAAATAATTCTGATGATGGCTAGCCTAGCTAGTCGAAGCATGTAAACCGATAATAAACTACAGAATCTAGATGTTGAAGTTCAAACTTATTTATCCTTCGTATTAACCTTCTGTGAAAAGGCTCTACTGACTACTGTTGGGTATTCATCCCCGAAATAATTACCTACCTACGACCATAGACAATCAGAACGTGGGTTCTCTCCAAATCCGAAAGGAGTCCCAAATTTTACTGAACAGTAATGTGTTATTGTCAGTGAGTGTACTGACCAGTATATTATTGTTAGTGAGTGTACTGACCTGTATGTTATTGTTAGTGAGTGTACTGACTAGTATATTATTGTAGGTGAGTGTACTGATCAGTATATTATTGTTAGTGAGTGTACTGCCCAGTATATTATTGTAGGTGAGTGTACTTACCAGTATATTATTGTTAGTGAGTGTACCTACCAGTATATTATTGTTAGTGAGTGCACTGACCAGTATATTATTGTAGGTGAGGGTACTGACCAGTATATTATAGTTAGAGAGTGTACTGACCAGTATATTATTGTAAGTGAGTGTACTGACCAATATATTATTGTAGGTGAGTGTACTGGCCAGTATATTATTGTAGGTGAGTTTACTGACCAGTATATTATTGTTAGTGAGTTTACTGACCAGTATATTATTGTTAGTGAGTGTACTGACCAGTATATTATTGTAGGTGAGTGTACTGACCAGTTTATTATTGTTAGTGAGTGTACTGACCTGTATGTTATTGTTAGTGAGTGTACTGACCAGTATATTATTGTAGGCGAGTGTACTGACCAGTATATTATAGTTAGAGAGTGTACTGACCAGTATATTATTGTTTGTGAGTGTACTGACCAGTATATTATTGTAAGTGAGTGTACTGACCAATATATTATTGTAGGTGAGTGTAGTGACCAGTATGTTATTGTTAGTGAGTGTACTGACCTGTATGTTATTGTTAGTGAGTGTACTGACCAGTATATTATTGTAGGTGAGTGTACTGACCAATATATTATTGTAGGTGAGTGTACTGACCAGTAGGAAGAGTAGTTCCACACCGAGTCTCACCGACGTGTCGGAGAACAAGCCATCTGTGGCCAGTACTGAACAGGCGGCTTCCGCAGACAACCTCACAACAGCCGTCAAGTCTGTAAGTCACCTTTACTGTCTGGTGTCTTAGTTAAGTCAATACACCTCAATGCCAGATAAAATCTACTGGTACATCTACGCTCCAACACTCAATGAAGGAGATGTATGTGTCTCTTATCATCAGTTAGGTGTGGTTGGTACAGGTGCTTTCTTTTGCAGGTCTTAATAATATATATTCAGAAAAGCATGATTTGCAACAAACATAAAGTTGTATGTAAATTAATATCATTATAGAAAATAATTATTGTTGTCTCTGGTTTGGATGTGACAGCAGTTTACTGTTTATTTGAGCATAACCAATTGAAAATGTTAAAAGTAAATTTTATACAGTACAACATAAGATATATCATCTTTTATATAGATGGCGCAGAACCTGGCTGACAGTATGGTGAATCTTGCCAGTTCAGATGCCCTTGTATCTGTAACTGTGGACCCTGTAGATGAAGGAATAAGTGGTAACATACCCACAGAGCCAGTTATAGTTGTCCACAAGGGACATGAGCGTGGGAACCTTGAGGCGTCAGGAGGCTATCCTGCCTTGCCAGACGTCCTGGAGACGAGTGAGCAGGGGTCGCCCAAGGGCGCAGAGGCCATGCAAATGCCGTCCAACACCACAGTTGGCTCAAATGTGGCTGCCAGTGTGGCTGAGGCTATTGCCAAGAAAATGGAGGCGCAGACACGCAGCTCTCCTACCAACCCTATGAGTGTGAGTGTACCAAATCTACCGTCAAGTATGGAGCAGACAGTAAGTCTTCTCGAGACCTTTGCTGCTGTGACACGCAGGAATCTTGGTACCGTTGTCATGAACAACCGCAGCAACAGTGGGAGGCTTGGTCCCCAGAACTCGCCGAGTATGTACAACAGTATGTATCACCATACCACATTACCAGGGCAAGGTACATCAGTGTAGTTAATACTATCACCCCGGCATAAAGTATAGAAAAATAATGTTATGGTGGGGCATATAGTGTAATTAATGTGAATCCCTTAGCGTAGTGCTGGGATTCAATATCATGACTCTTATTCCTTATCAGATTTTCATCAAAATGCAAAGGTCAAGCATGAAAATTTATAAATAAATAAACACATTATATATCAGATGAGTTGTTATTTTTGGGTCCAGAGGTCAAAGCCAAGGTCACTGTTGCTAATTATATGCCAAGCACAGAGCAGTGGGGGCATTGATGTATTGTATACATTTACAAGTTTTCATATAGATTCCATGTGTATCATTGTACAATCATGATAGAAAAACATGATAGTGATATTTTCTGTTATCGTGATTTTTTTCTTTTCAAATGAAAATATGTTTATAAAATACTTATACTTGTACATATTTTAACTGAGATATACTGATCAATCAGTGATAGGATACATTGACCTAAGGCTTGCAAGCATGACATATTAAATTTTGCAAATCAAAAGTATGGTAATAATTCACAGGATTATATATTTAATGATCAATGAATGTGTTTCCTATCCAGATGCCTTGTTGAGTACAGCCCAGAGTTACCCAAGCCTTACCACATCAGCATCAGCAACATCTAATACATTAACAACAACACAGACAATGGCCAATGTGACATCTCTAAGTCAGGCTTTGACTCGCAGCCTCACTTCCACATCTAGCGAAAGTGATAATGAGTTCATGGAGGGCTGTCGTGCACCCATGTTGCTGGCTGAGCTGGATGATGATTGTGAGGAACTCCCTGGACCTGATGATGACGATGATGAAAATGAGGATGAAAATGAAGATGATGAAGTTTATGATGACTTCTTGGTAAGAATATGTAGAGAATGTGGCTTCTGCATTTTCAAGCAAAATTAAAAACATTTTTAATTTGGCTTTCAAATGCATGATGAGGATGATTATGGTAAATTTCTGATAAGAATTAGTGGTTTATGATGCTTTCAAGCTGAATGTTTGATATATTTAATAGGAGATTCTGAAAAGAACACATATTTTCTACATGAATAAAATGTATCTAATTTTGAAGTCCTACACATGTCTGGTAAAGTTCTGGGTTGTGATGATGTCTGACTAGTTATCTCCCCTTACAGGAGGAGGATGAGTTAGAGGGGCGAGGCGAGAGGAGGAAGACCTGGGATGATGAGTTTGTCCTGAAGCGCCAATTCTCTGCCCTCATCCCAGCATTTGATCCCCGTCCTGGCCGCACCAACGTCAACCAGACACAGGACTTTGAGATCCCCACCCCAGGTTAGCTTGAATTTGGAAACTTATGCAAATTTTCTGTTGTAATAAATCAATTTTCATCACATAAAATTCACTCTTTAGGTTGTAAAAATAACATATTTGAGCAGTCTTGAAGTTGTCCTTTTAAGATTTTATTTATTGTTAAATATCTGTTGAATAAGGGGAAAAGTAAAACAGGGAACACTCCTGTTTTGAAAATGTATAGCATAACTTGTTGTATACTTAACACTGTAAAATAAAAATGCTTTTCCCACAAAACTTATTCCGGGTTTTTGTGTGATTGTAAGCACTGTTTAGCACACGTCACACAGACCAGATACAGGCAGGACATGTGGGTTTTATTGGTCTTATATTTTAAACAGTATCTCTTTTAATTCCTTTTTGGTTCAGGAATACAGAAACCACTGATAAAAACAAGTTTGATACCTGTTGTTTTATTGGTTAACAAATGTAGTTGCCTTATAATGCCTTATATATGTATTATCACAACAGGAACAGATGATCTGAGTATGGCGGAGTCCAGTGACCAGGTGCTTCAACCCAAACTGGCTATCTACATCAAGGCACCAGGACTGCCAGGGGTGAGGGACAATCTTTATAGCGCCAATCTAAAAAAATACATTCTAAATGATTGAACACAGGTAGCAGTTTTCTTATTCATCTTGTTTATATTTTTAGAAAATACATATAATAAAACCTGCTATTGTCAGACTTGAGAACCCTTCTAACGTCATCTGAAGTATGGCCCTGATCTTCAAAAAACCTTTTAAAAACATTCTGATAACTATCATCCAGGCCTCAATATTTTGGACACATGCAGGGTACACCATGATATTCTATTGGTGATGCAGTACCATTCATTATTAANCGGTGAATGTACTGACCAGTATATTATTGTAGGTGAGTGTACTGACAAGTATATTATGGTTAGTGAGTGTACTGACCAGTATATTATTGTAGGTGAGTGTACTGACCAGTATATTATTGTTAGTGAGTGTACTGACCAGTATATTATTGTAGGTGAGTGTACTGACCAATATATTATTGTAGGTGAGTGTACTGACCAGTAGGAAGAGTAGTTCCACACCGAGTCTCACCGACGTGTCGGAGAACAAGCCATCTGTGGCCAGTACTGAACAGGCGGCTTCCGCAGACAACCTCACAACAGCCGTCAAGTCTGTAAGTCACCTTTACTGTCTGGTGTCTTAGTTAAGTCAATACACCTCAATGCCAGATAAAATCTACTGGTACATCTACGCTCCAACACTCAATGAAGGAGATGTATGTGTCTCTTATCATCAGTTAGGTGTGGTTGGTACAGGTGCTTTCTTTTGCAGGTCTTAATAATATATATTCAGAAAAGCATGATTTGCAACAAACATAAAGTTGTATGTAAATTAATATCATTATAGAAAATAATTATTGTTGTCTCTGGTTTGGATGTGACAGCAGTTTACTGTTTATTTGAGCATAACCAATTGAAAATGTTAAAAGTAAATTTTATACAGTACAACATAAGATATATCATCTTTTATATAGATGGCGCAGAACCTGGCTGACAGTATGGTGAATCTTGCCAGTTCAGATGCCCTTGTATCTGTAACTGTGGACCCTGTAGATGAAGGAATAAGTGGTAACATACCCACAGAGCCAGTTATAGTTGTCCACAAGGGACATGAGCGTGGGAACCTTGAGGCGTCAGGAGGCTATCCTGCCTTGCCAGACGTCCTGGAGACGAGTGAGCAGGGGTCGCCCAAGGGCGCAGAGGCCATGCAAATGCCGTCCAACACCACAGTTGGCTCAAATGTGGCTGCCAGTGTGGCTGAGGCTATTGCCAAGAAAATGGAGGCTCAGACACGCAGCTCTCCTACCAACCCTATGAGTGTGAGTGTACCAAATCTACCGTCGAGTATGGAGCAGACAGTAAGTCTTCTCGAGACCTTTGCTGCTGTGACACGCAGGAATCTTGGTACCGTTGTCATGAACAACCGCAGCAACAGTGGAAGGCTTGGTCCCCAGAACTCGCCGAGTATGTACAACAGTATGTATCACCATACCACATTACCAGGGCAAGGTACATCAGTATAGTTAATACTATCACCCCGGCATAAAGTATAGAAAAATAATGTTATGGTGGGGCATATAGTGTAATTAATGTGAATCCCTTAGCGTAGTGCTGGGATTCAATTTCATGACTCTTATTCCTTATCAGATTTTCATCAAAATGCAAAGGTCAAGCATGAAAATTTATAAATAAATAAACACATTATATATCAGATGAGTTGTTATTTTTGGGTCCAGAGGTCAAAGCCAAGGTCACTGTTGCTAATTATATGTCAAGCACAGAGCAGTGGGGGCATTGATGTATTGTATACATTTACAAGTTTTCATATAGATTCCATGTGTATCATTGTACAATCATGATAGAAAAACATGATAGTGATATTTTCTGTTATCGTGATTTTTTTCTTTTCAAATGAAAATATGTTTATAAAATACTTATACTTGTACATATTTTAACTGAGATATACTGATCAATCAGTGATAGGATACATTGACCTAAGGCTTGCAAGCATGACATATTAAATTTTAGCAAATCAAAAGTATGGTAAGAATTCACAGGATTATATATTTAATGATCAATGAATGTGTTTCCTATCCAGATGCCTTGTTGAGTACAGCCCAGAGTTACCCAAGCCTTACCACATCAGCATCAGCAACATCTAATACATTAACAACAACACAGACAATGGCCAATGTGACATCTCTAAGTCAGGCTTTGACTCGCAGCCTCACTTCCACATCTAGCGAAAGTGATAATGAGTTCATGGAGGGCTGTCGTGCACCCATGTTGCTGGCTGAGCTGGATGATGATTGTGAGGAACTCGCTGGACCTGATGATGACGATGATGAAAATGAGGATGAAAATGAAGATGATGAAGTTTATGATGACTTCTTGGTAAGAATATGTAGAGAATGTGTCTTCTGCATTTTCAAGCAAAATTAAAAACATTTTTAATTTGGCTTTCAAATGCATGATGAGGATGATTATGATGAATTTCTGATAAGAATTAGTGGTTTATGATGCTTTCAAGCTGAATGTTTGATATATTTAATTGGAGATTCTGAAAAGAACACATATTTTCTACATGAATAAAATGTATCTAATTTTTAAGTCCTACACATGTCTGGTAAAGTTCTGGGTTGTGATGATGTCTGACTAGTTATCTCCCCTTACAGGAGGAGGATGAGTTAGAGGGGCGAGGCGAGAGGAGGAAGACCTGGGATGATGAGTTTGTCCTGAAGCGCCAATTCTCTGCCCTCATCCCAGCATTTGATCCCCGTCCTGGCCGCACCAACGTCAACCAGACACAGGACTTTGAGATCCCCACTCCAGGTTAGCTTGAATTTGGAATCTTATGCAAATTTTCTGTTGTAATAAATCAATTTTCATCACATTAAATTCACTCTTTAGGTTGTAAAAATAACATATTTGAGCAGTCTTGAAGTTGTCCTTTTAAGATTTTATTTATTGTTAAATATCTGTTGAATAAGGAAAAGTAAAACAGGGAACACTCCTGTTTTGAAAATGTATAGCATAACTTGTTGTATACTTAACACTGTAAAATAAAAATGCTTTTCCCACAAAACTTATTCCGGGTTTTTGTGTGATTGTAAGCACTGTTTAGCACACGTCACACAGACCAGATACAGGCAGGACATGTGGGTTTTATTGGTCTTATATTTTAAACAGTATCTCTTTTAATTCCTTTTTGGTTCAGGAATACAGAAACCACTGATAAAAACAAGTTTGATACCTGTTGTTTTATTGGTTAACAAATGTAGTTGCCTTATAATGCCTTATATATGTATTATCACAACAGGAACAGATGATCTGAGTATGGCGGAGTCCAGTGACCAGGTGCTTCAACCCAAACTGGCTATCTACATCAAGGCACCAGGACTGCCAGGGGTGAGGGACAATCTTTATAGCGCCAATCTAAAAAAATACATTCTAAATGATTGAACACAGGTAGCAGTTTTCTTATTCATCTTGTTTATATTTTTAGAAAATACATATAATAAAACCTGCTATTGTCAGACTTGAGAACCCTTCTAACGTCATCTGAAGTATGGCCCTGATCTTCAAAAAACCTTTTAAAAACATTCTGATAACTATCATCCAGGCCTCAATATTTTGGACACATGCAGGGTACACCATGATATTCTATTGGTGATGCAGTACCATTCATTATTAATTGTATTGTCCTGTTTTTAGATGGAGGATGGTGAGGTATGTCTCGGCCAGGAGAAAAGCTGTATATTCAAGTACATACAGAAACTGCTAACTCAGGGACCTGCATCCAACAGAACAGAGCGACTTAAGAGGATCTGGGAACCAACCTACACGTAAGGCACAGCATCAAGGCTATTTAAAAATAACCCGGCACTGACATTGTGGGCTATACAACTAACTCCACTTTTATACTGAGACTTGTAAGCTAAATGATAACTCAGAATGAGCATTGTAGGCAGTATAGATAACTCAGAATTGGTATTGTAAGCTAAATAATAAGTCAGAATGAGCATTGTAGGCGGTATAGATAACTCAGAATTGGTATTGTAGGCTGTATAGATAACTCAGAATTGGTATTGTAGGCTGTATAGATAACTCAGATTTGTTATTGTAGGCTGTATAGATAACTCAGAATTGGTATAGTAGGCTGAAAGAATTGGTATTGTAGGCTGTATAAATAACTCAGAATTGGTATTGTAGGCTGAAAGAATTGGTATTGTAGGCTGCATAAATAACTCAGAATTGGTATTGTAGGCTGTATTAATAACTCAGAATTGGTATTGTAGGCTGTATAAATAACTCAGAATTGGTATTGTAGGCTGTATAGATAACTCAGAATTGGTAGGCTGAAAAAATTGGTATTGTAGACTGAAAGAATTGGTATTGTAGGCTGTATAGATAACTCAGAATTGGTATTGTAGGCTGTATAGATAACTCAGAATTGGTAGGCTGAAAAAATTGGTATTGTAGACTGAAAGAATTGGTATTGTAGGCTGTATAGATAACTCAGAATTGGTATTGTAGGCTGTATAGATAACTCAGAATTGGTAGGCTGAAAAAATTGGTATTGTAGACTGAAAGAATTGGTATTGTAGGCTGTATAGATAACTCAGAATTGGTATTGTAGGCTGTATAGATAACTCAGAATTGGTAGGCTGAAAAAATTGGTATTGTAGACTGAAAGAATTGGTATTGTAGGCTGTATAGATAACTCAGAATTGGTATTGTAGGCTGTATAGATAACTCAGAATTGGTAGGCTGAAAAAATTGGTATTGTAGACTGAAAGAATTGGTATTGTAGGCTGTATAGATAACTCAGAATTGGTATTGTAGGCTGTATAGATAACTCAGAATTGGTAGGCTGAAAAAATTGGTATTGTAGACTGAAAGAATTGGTATTGTAGGCTGTATAGATAACTCAGAATTGGTATTGTAGGCTGTATAGATAACTCAGAATTGGTAGGCTGAAAAAATTGGTATTGTAGACTGAAAGAATTGGTATTGTAGGCTGTATAGATAACTCAGAATTGGTATTGTAGGCTGTATAGATAACTCAGAATTGGTAGGCTGTGGATGTAAAAATGACTTACGCTGAGAATCTTAGGCTCTAAAACAAATTGGCTTTTATTAGGTCACCTGAGACAAAGTCTCCATCGTCCGTCCGTAAACAATTTACATTTTCGACTTCTTCTCCAAAACCCCTGAACCAATTTCGATGAAATTTTGCAGGGACCTTCCATGGACAAAGGTCAACAAAAATAGTTGCGGCCTGAGTGGCGGGGCCAAAAAGGGTCAAATTGACTAAAATTTCAAAAAAAAAATTCTCAAGACCCAGATATGGTAGAATCAAATACTCTTCATAGATGGAAGGGTCTTAAGGTGCTTTACCGAAATTGTGAATTTCATGACCCTGGGGACTCGCGTTTCCCCCTGGGGAGGGGGTAAACTTTACTATAGTTTATATAGGGAAATAACATTTTGGACCAACATTTGTTTAATTTCCATTGGAAGTAATTCAATTTGGGTTAGCATTATCAGTATTAGGTAGCAGTTTGATAGTATGCACCTATGAGCCCTGACTGACCCCCAGGGGCTGATGGGTGGGGCCAAAAAGGGTTGAATTGACTGAAATTTCAAAAATCTTCTTCTCAAGACCCAGATATGGTAGAATCAAATACTCTTCATAGATGGAAGGGTCTTAAGGTGCTTTACCGAAATTGTGAATTTCTTGACCCTGGGGTCTCACGTTTCCCCCTGGGGAGGGGGTAAACTTTACTATAGTTTATATAGGGAAATCACATTTTGGACCAACATTTGTTTAATTTCCATTGGAAGTAATTCAATTTGGGTTAGCATTATCAGTATTAGGTAGCAGTTTGATAGTATGCACCTATGAGCCCTGACTGACCCCCAGGGGCTGATGGGTGGGGCCAAAAAGGGTTGAATTGACTGAAATTTCAAAAATCTTCTTCTCAAGACCCAGATATGGTAGAATCAAATACTCTTCATAGATGGAAGGGTCTTAAGGTGCTTTACCGAAATTGTGAATTTCTTGACCCTGGGGTCTCACGTTTCCCCCTGGGGAGGGGGTAAACTTTACTATAGTTTATATAGGGAAATCACATTTTGGACCAACATTTGTTTAATTTCCATTGGAAGTAATTCAATTTGGGTTAGCATTATCAGTATTAGGTAGCAGTTTGATAGTATGCACCTATGAGCCCTGACTGACCCCCAGGGGCTGATGGGTGGGGCCAAAAAGGGTTGAATTGACTGAAATTTCAAAAATCTTCTTCTCAAGACCCAGATATGGTAGAATCAAATACTCTTCATAGATGGAAGGGTCTTAAGGTGCTTTACCGAAATTGTGAATTTCTTGACCCTGGGGTCTCACGTTTCCCCCTGGGGAGGGGGTAAACTTTACTATAGTTTATATAGGGAAATCACATTTTGGACCAACATTTGTTTAATTTCCATTGGAAGTAATTCAATTTGGGTTAGCATTATCAGTATTAGGTAGCAGTTTGATAGTATGTACCTATGAGCCCTGACTGACCCCCAGGGGCTGATGGGTGGGGCCAAAAAGGGTTGAATTGACTGAAATTTCAAAAATCTTCTTCTCAAGACCCAGATATGGTAGAATCAAATACTCTTCATAGATGGAAGGGTCTTAAGGTTTATGACCCTAGGGTCTCACGTTTACCCCCTGGGGAAGGAGGGGGGGGGGGCAAACATTTTTATGGTTTATAATGGCAAATGATACTTTGAATATTACATGTTAATCACATGATTGAAATTATAACCTTGAATTGACAGTTTGATACTTTGAAAATTTTGAGCCAGCTCTACCACCAAGGGCTGTCGGGTGGGGCTCAAAGGAGTCAGTGTGCTAAAATTTCTTCATTTTCCTTGTTTAGAATCAGAGGTGCTAGTTTCAAATCCTTTTTAGTCTGAAATCTGTATGCTAGATATTGAATAAGGTGTTTTTATTGTTTTTTGTCACTTTGAATAATATTTCTGTTCATGTTAAAAACAAAATCAACTCTCTGTATAAATATATCAGGTGACCGTTAAGGCCCATGGGCCTCTTGTTTAGAGAAAATATCGGTATTTTTTTTTGTTGAATCAAATTCTGTACTAACATAAAATAGGACATTTTTGGTACGACCACTCATATAAATTTCAGGACTATCGTCATACTAGTCAAGGGTTTAATGCCTGTCTATGTTTTATGTTTTGCAGGATTGTGTATAAGGCATTGAAGGACGGAGAAAGCAAACAAGAACTGGAGAAAATGACCGTATGTTTGACCAATGTATACTGATTAACAGGCTAAATTAGCAGAAAGTTTGACCATGCATCAATTTCTTTTAAACATGGATGGCTGTGTTTATAATGACATTCACTATTACATTTTTTCAAATAGGTTATATTTGTGTAAATTGTGAAAAATTTCATGAAAACTGACCTTCTAGTCTAAATGTTATGCTTAAAAAAGTCCCCACTAAATGTTGATTGACACTTCAGTTTTCTTCTCTAAAGCAAATTATTGATTGTGAATTTAAAAAATATGCATTAGGCCAAATAAATTAATTACTTGGTTCTCGGGCCAATTTTTTTCAAAAGAGATGCGGCAGGGCGGTATTTTTTTTCCTCCATTTTACATGGCAAAAACGAGACGAGGGCATTTTTTTTTTATTGTGTAGTTTGTAAAACGTTCATTGTGGGCATTACCTTGTCTTTTTGTAGTTGTGTAGAGACCCTTCATAGAGCAAGCCTCCGTAAATCCCCCAACGATGTTCCAGATGAGAATCACGAAACCCCCCCCCCCCCCCATTCCTTATTTGTACCGAAATGAGCGCCATTTGTACACAAGTCTAATAAGTTAAAATCATTTTAACGCTTGCCTGTATCTCAATCCTTATCTTTATTCAAACGTTTTCGGGACTTGGGTGACTAACAAGTAAAAAATGTCAAGCAGACCAATTTTCCGGAATTTTGTAAAGATGGCGACAGGTGCATTCACATTTTTTATTTTTTTTTATTACTTTCACGATAAAATCGGCAATGCGGTGCACTAAAATGAAATGCGTTCGGGCCTGAGAACCAAGTAATCATTTTTATTTTGGCCTTAAGCACTAGACATGTATATAGTTAGATATAAAGCTCATTTATGATGTAATCTTCACCATAAATAATAACATGACATGATAGACATACTGCAAGTCAGTTTTGACAATAGATATCTCCATTGATATGGATGTAGTACCGAGTGTTTATGGTACCTATACCAACATGACGTACAGTTTAATTAACTTGACCACTGGAGTTGACCTAACCTTTGACCTATATTGTAGGACTCTGTGTACCGACAGATTGGAGCCCAGGCAGACAGTCAGGGCTACCAAATCCTCAGTGAATGGGATATTCCCCGCAACAATGATCCTACAGCCTGTACCATGGACCACGTGCTTCAACTGCTGCAACGGCTGTATGCCATCGTCATGGAGCCCACGCCAACCACGCTCATGAACTGTACGTACAACCACAAGGCAGTAGATTCATTAACTGTGCATACAACAACACAGCAATATGCTCATGAAATTATGAACAAAGCTCAAGCCAACTGGCTCATAAATAGTTCACCTACCAAACATACTTACCAGTATTAACAAGGCTATGGAATTGTATTATCTTTAAACTTTTGTGTTATGTCTTGAAATGTTTTGTCAAGTGTAATGTTGTTAGATGACCTTGAACATTTCTGTTTGTTGTGTACTTTTGTATCTGTTTAAATTGAGTCATGCACAGACAATGGATTTGAAACAAGTTCAAAAGGACCCTTAAAGTTGATCCAAAGAGAGTTTGATTTTTGTTTTTTCTACAAACAGAAATGTGTTCTAAGTTAAAGTGAATCCTTTGCTGTAGGCCAGAATCAAGCTAAAATTGAAAATTCCAGACATGAATAATAATTCTAAAGTGAAATGGAAGTGATGTTATATAATTGAGATAAGTGAAATAAGTTTTGTGGAACTAATGAATTATTAAATCTTCTGTTTCCATGTTTAACCAGCCTTGCCTTCTTCCAACTTACTATATCATAACTATTTCAACAGATGACCGACCTCTACTACTGAATGTGACGGCAGAGGAATTCATTAGTAAAAAGATCACCAACAAACTAGTACAACAGACACAGGTCAGTATCATCTCTCAATGACAGCAAAATGGTTCACAGACATTCAGGATTAACCTCGATAAATTCAGATTCTGTGTTATAATTGTTCTCTCACCATTTTATATGGATGCATATTAATGTGTTTAACCCGCGGGATTCTCTTGATCCACAGGACCCCTTGGTGCTGGCCAGTAACGCCTTGCCCGACTGGTGTGAGAAACTGACCAAGTACTGCCCTATGCTCTGCTCCTTTGACACCAGGCAGATCTACTTCACTTGTACCGCTTTTGGATCCTCCAGGTAAGGATGTCAACGATGTTTTAACTGATCTGAGATCCAACATTGTCTGAAACCTGAAAGATGAATGAAATTTACTTTATAGTTAAAACAATAAAGCATTGTTATTCATTTGAATGATACCTTTCTCCCTCAGGGCCATTGTGTGGCTACAGGACCGAAGGGATGCCACCCTTGAGAGAAGTCGTGGCCCCATGCCACGTCGGGACGAGGGTGGGGAGTACCGTATTGGGCGTCTGAAGCACGAGCGTGTGAGGATTCCGCGTAATGAGAGGCTACTGGACTGGGCCGTTCAGGTGATGAAGTACCACTCCCATCGAAAGTCTGTGCTGGAAATAGAATTTGAGCTGGAGGAAGGGACGGGACTCGGCCCCAGCCTTGAGTTCTATGCCCTCATTGCCGCAGAAATGCAGAGAAAGGAACTTGGACTATGGCTGTGTGATGATGACATCACCAACAAGCTTGAGAGACAGGTGGGTACATCACTATAGGCTACTCGGGTATTATATTTCATGTTTAGTTGAGAGTGTCGTCATCAAATCCCATCGTCATTTGAGCAAAGACATAATACCACCAGCAAGGAAGCAAGCAACTGCATTGAATAGACTCTTCATGATCAATATCTTTGACAGGAGTATTTCATGTATTAAGTGATTTTTGTAGAATTTTTATTTTAGGCGAGTCTTGAACATCAGTTAAGCCTGAGTCTACAACTCAAATATTTGTGTCCCAAAAGTCACTGGTATAAATGTAAACAATATAAATTTACTAACCTGAAGGGAAAATCCATTTGCAGCATTAAATAGCAATGGTTCATTGTTAGTGGACATTGACTTAATTGAGAGAAAATGCATCAACAGTATTAAACAAATCTGGTTTATTGTAGGTGGACATTGGCCATGGTATGAAGCCCCCAGGATATTACATCCAGAGGGCCGGAGGTTTATTCCCCGCCCCTCTGCCCCAGGACAGCGCTGATATTCCTCGTGTCGAGAAGCTGTTCCACTTCCTGGGCACCCTCCTCGCTAAGTGTATACAGGACAAACGTCTGATTGATTTGCCACTCTCCCGCTCCTTCTTCAAACTGATGTGTATGGGTGAGATGGGCCACATCATCACCCAGCAATACCAGGATTCACTGCACCGGTCTGTGGGCAGTACCACCGAGTCCTATTACAGCGAGCATGACCTTTCTCCACGTGACACATTGTACTCCAGCATAGAGGATGTGGACAAGGAACTCATCCTTGATCCCCCTAAAGTCAAGCGTCCAGACACACCTGCCTGGTACGAAGGAATTCTTAATGATGATGAGTTTGAGCTCATTGATCCCCACCGTGCAACATTCCTACGACAGCTACGAGAGTTAGTCAATAAAAAACAGAGGATTCTGAAAGACAAGACCCTGTCTCCTGATCAGAAAAACATACTCATACAGCAGTTAGGTCTTCAGAATCCATCCGAGCCTGGTGCGATCTACAGGATAGAAGATATTGGGTATGTATGTGGTCAACACTGTAATGTTGGGGGAGAGGTCTCCCTCTAACAACATTCCTTACACACCTGTATATGCCTCGGATTCAGGTTCATTTGATTAATTCATTGGGTTTTGATTTGCTACCACAGTAATATGTGTTAACTATGTATCGTGACAACTTTTCAAAAGGTTTGGTGTAATTTTGATTGGCTAGTTTCAAAATATTTGATGTTTGTATGTTAAGTACATGTAAATAATCAACTACTGTTAAAAGTGTTCAAACATTTTATTATGAGTTGATTGACTACTATAAAAAAAAAAATAGATTCTCTTATTTTAACCATTTAATATGAAATTGTGGAATTTCACGTTATTTCCATTTCAGCCTAACATTCCAGTTCAACCCTTCATCCAAAGTGTATGGTTACATGTCGTATGATCTGAAGTCTAATGCAGAGGAGGTGAGTTGTACTGCTGTCTACAGTCTGAGTCATTGTTAATTACTGAGATAAAGGAAACATAAATGATTTACAACATTGTTACTAGAGGTGTAACGATGAATCGTATCATTTCTTGATTGCCGATGCATCGTGGCATTCGCCGATAGTATCGCGATACTTTAAAAAAGTTATATACGGCCAGTTACCGCTCTTTTAGACTGGTTACCAGTCCTGTATTGCGACCATATATCGGCAATATTTCAGACATTTTCAGAAATAATTAGAAAAGTACTTGCGGCAATAATAATTCCAGAATGTATGACTCATTCAAGGCTATATTACACGGTAAAATACGAAAAAATGTAGGTATCTCCAACGATTTGAACTGATAGAGTACATGGTGTTTTTATGTCGCCATAATTCAGCTGTTAGCAGTACTCGTCAGTATCTGATTGAATGACTGCCTTTAAGTAAACATACTCTTCCAATTTCGCTGTTGGGTCCAGTCGGATTTGCAGACGCTCAGAAAACAACAACAAATCATATATTTCAGAAAAAATTGAAGTTGTACCCCAATAGAATCGAAGTTTCTCTGACACTTATTTTTGTAAAACCAACATTTTATATTACCGACAGCACCTGCTCTGCCCATACCAGGTGTTGAACAGATCTCCTACTCGAAGGGACAACACCTAACTTACCGTTATTTAACAATTAGGCTTTTGTGTGATCAGTTTTCCCCAACATAATTCATCATCTGAATGAATGTGTTTATTTAGGATAATTAAAAAAAGAAAGAAGTTTTACAATTTATGAGATGGGTCACTTCAAAACAAATAAATTGAGCATGGTATACAGACACTTTATATTTGTTTCATATCAAGGTTCAAAGTTTCAAATCAAGGAAAACTATGGTAACATATTTGTACAGAATGTTGTGACAAGTATCGCGATACGTATCGTATCGTGACCCATGTATCGTATCGTCACAACCCTTGCGATACACACCTAATTGTTATTAGGTTAAAATATATTGAATTTTGAATTGAAATTGAAAAACAATTACTAGGTTATCACACTAGTCTAGAGTTGAACTGTAATTGTGATCTTTTCCCCACAGGAGGTGAATCTGGAGAACGTGGATGAATATGTTGATCTGGTCACTGACTTCTGTCTCAACAGTGGAATCCGACACCAACTTGATGCTTTTAAAGGTACAATGCCAATCATCTTGATACCTGGAAATATAAACTTTATAATAAGGCTGTGGATGAGAAGAAATTTCTAAAAAGAGGACTTGTAAACGTGATAAGCTTCTGTGTTGTATTTAGGTTTACTTTATCAAAAGCTTTAACTATTTTCTCTCAGAATCTTGTGTATCGGATATTTTACAGATTTAGTAGTGGATTTTGTATCACAGGCCATTATCAAAACGTTAAAAACCCAACCCTATTATAACTAACCAATTGAAATCAAATAAAAAAGGAGATGTGATTTTAGATGAGTTATGTGTATAACTGTATGTTTACTTTGACAGCTGGGTTTGATGAGGTATTTACCATGGAGAAGCTGCACTCCTTTAGCCCTACAGAGCTGGCCACACTCATGTGTGGGGAGCAGGCACCTGTGTGGACACGTGAGGACGTCCTCAACTACACAGAGCCCAAGCTCGGTTACACCAGGGACAGGTTAGTTGTCAGGTTTAAATCCCAGAAGTTGCTTATCAGGCCTACGTACAGGCTAAAAATTCTGATGATTCTGTTCAAATTGTTAGGGGTGGTAGGTGGGAAGATCTTGGTAAAATGTGCTTATGTCCTTTTGACACGAAAAAGTGAAAAATAAAGTGGATTTTGTTTTAACAGAATCCTTCAAAGAGAGAATTCTGCTTAAAAACCTGTTTGTAGTCATGTTGGAGAATATTTAGAAGCACAGTTCAGCCTTATGTGAATGTGTTTATATTTTGCTATCTAGAATAATTTGACACCCAAGCAATACCTCTAACTTCTAACTAGACTATCAAGATACAGTGTACTAAAACTGGTTATGTATTATTTCAGCCCTGGGTTCCAGCGATTTGTCAATGTGATGACTTGTCTTAATGCTGATGAGAGGAAAGCATTTCTACAGTTTACAACAGGGTGTTCCTCCCTACCTCCAGGAGGCTTTGCTAATCTGCACCCACGTCTGACCGTGGTGAGGAAGGTTGATGGTAGTGATAACAGCTACCCCTCAGTCAACACCTGTGTTCACTATCTCAAGCTGCCAGAGTACTCCTCGGAAGATATCCTACGCCAGAAACTCCTTGATGCTACCAGTGAAAAGGGTTTCCACTTAAACTGATGATGGATGTGGTTAGCTGTGTCAAAAAAGAACCTGTGTCCAGTTGTGTTTGAGCAAGAATGGAAACTGAAGAAATGGTCGTGTTACTCAAAAGTCACCCATGTAGGAGATTCCTAGAATCTTAATTCACATTCTTACTGGACCTGCCATATTGACGAGAGTTCATGTGGACAGAAATTTGATCCTAGTTTGATCGTCACATTGACTGATATTTGACCATCACATGGGTCATCTTGGATGACCCAGCTCAGTGTTTACAGCTTTCATACCTATTCATTTCCCTAACTTATAATTCACATGAATTGCAGTTATTTGCAACATTAGTTCTTATATTGAGTGTTAAGTATTGCAATACTATGATTCTAGATAAAAATGTTCCTAGGGTTTTGCTGTATGAGATTGGTTGTGTGAGGTTAATTGGCAGCAATGATGCAGCCATCTTGGGAATGCAAGAACATTGTGTGAGTGATGAGAGATCTATTTGGGAGAGGGAGGGGGGAGTCACCAAATCCCAAGTTTGATGAATTGTGTAAGAGAAAACCTGATCACGGACAGAATCTATACAACATGTGATACACAAGACTTGATTGCCAGTGTAAGCTGTTCTAATATGACATATAAGGACAGCATTATTTGTTTGTGTTTCAGTAGCAAATATTCAGCTTGGGTATCAAAGATTAATGTGTAGACTGCTCTTGATTATGATGCCAGTTTTGATTACTTAAACACAAGTTCTTTCAATTCAAGATTCCCTGTTCTACTGCAGGCATAATGCAAAAAATTCACGACGAATTGTATATAACTGTAGAGCAGTTGGGCCAGGACACTGTAACCGCATAACAATCTGAGGTCCAGACTCCGAATCCTAGTCAAGCCTAACTGAAATTTTACACTAAGAACAATGGTGTTGATTGTATTTTCTTTCATTTTTATCATTTATTCATAAAAGTTGCACAATCCATGGTTTTCTTTTCAGAATAATTCACCAAAGCTATTGTCAAGATTTAGTTTCTAATGCATTGGTACAGTTTATGGCAGTGGTACAGGGATTCTTTGTTGGTGAGATTCAGTCGCATGATTTCACTATAGATGTGTCTGGATGTGTCATGTTGTCTTCCGTTCGATTCAAGTTTGGTTGAGTGTTATAACAGGGTTAGGTGGCCGACCAATAGCCATCTCCACACACTGTCAGGGATGTACAATTCATCTTAAATCATGTTGAAATTTTTTAGATTTTTTAAAAATTGTGAATCTATGTAGTCCACTGCACAATGCACTTGGTATAAGTTCTGCGAGGAGACCATGGTGATAGGTGGAATCACTGAATTGGAGTATTCATTGAAATGTAGGGGAGATAACCCAGCAGAATAGCGTTATTGCCTTACTGAAGAATCATGAGCAACCAAACAAGTAATGACGGACAGCGATTGGTCAGAGGCTTGGACGTATGGACCTAATCAGGGTGGTTGTTACTGTCAGTTTGGAAATGTATGGCTGTGTCATTATTTGCCTGTGGTAGTTGAGCAGATTCTATACATATTTATCCAAGTGCTTGACAACTTCTCACGTTTCTTAAATGTTTGTGTGTACATGTTAAGTAAGTATGATAGAAACAATTTATTGTTGTTTGTTGTTGAAAGATTTTAACACTTTTAACCTTTTTTTTGTATTGTTCCATGGAAATGGAAGTCTATTTATTGTTTTGAGTAATTCATATCACATGCAAGCTTTTGAATGAAAAAAAGAATGGCGTATATTCAAAAGAGATGTAATGAAATCTATGTGATAGATACACTTGTTTTGGTAGGAGTTTGTATTAAATGCCTGTGCAATCACAATACCAGTACCTGTTTGTTATTGTTTCATTTAACCGGGTACACCAGAATCACCTCGATTGTCTGTCTGACAGTGTATACTATAGAAGTGCAAATAGTTGAATGTGGAACTGCTTGCAATGTGATTCATCAAACTGATTGTGGTTTGGATGTTTTGAAATTTATATAATATTATATCTACCAATATATAAAAATATTTATGATTTTTATTGCGTGTGGATATTTTTGTGCTAATTTAGTTAGCTTGAAAAAAAACAAGCATTTCCACTTTTATGATACATAGTTTCTGGACTGCAAGTTAAGTTATTTTTCAGCCACATTCATTAAACTTAAATAATTTAAACTTGCTGGTAACAAGCATTTTAATTGGCTTAAAAATTGATGTCGGTGTTTGTAACAGTGCTTTTGATTGGCTGATACAGCAGTGTAACAATTTCTAAGAGAAACAAGAGGCCCAAGGGCCTTAGCGGTCACCTGAGTTATATCATAGGTACTGGTAGCTTTATTTTATTGTTTAGATGTTATGTGGAAATCAGCATGTTAACTAAGTGAAATACAATACTTGTCATGTCATCAAAGGATAAGAATTTGAAAATATTGGTAAATGTCCCCTTTGGGGCCCCGCCCTAGCCCTTGGGGATGGGGCAGGAATCCCAATTTTACAAAGTAATACTCTCATTCACCCAAGATGATTCTGATTAAGTTTGAGTAATTTTCTGCTGAAAATGGATAAAATATATACCGAAAAGTGTTATTTCCCTATATAAACTATATTAAACTTTACCCCCTCCTTAAGGGAGAACGGTTAGCTCAGGGGGTCCTGAAATTTACAATTTAAATAAAGCCCCTGATGATTTTCTTTCCATGCAGAGAAAATGAATGTAGTACCTCTGAGTCGGGAAGTGAAAACTTTGGAAATATTGGTTAATTTTCCCTTTGGGGCCCCGCCCTGGCCCCAGGGGTCGGGGTAGGAATCTCAATTTTACAATTTGAAACCATCTACCTCCAAGGATAATTCTCACCAAGTAAAAATAATTTCCTACAGAAAGTTGTCAAAATATACCCAAAAGTGTTATTTCCCTATATAAACTATAGTAAACTTTACCCCCTCCCCAAGGGAGAACGGATAGCTCGGGGGTCCTGAAATTTACAATTTAAGTAAAGCCCCTGATGATCTTTCTTTCCACGTAGAGAAAATCACTGTAGTACCTCTGAGTCTGGAGAAGAAGATTTTTGAAATATTGGATAATTTTCCCTTTGGGGCCCCGCCCTGGCCCCAGGGGTGGGGGTAGGAATCTCAATTTTACAATTTTGAAGCCTCATCTACCAAGGATGATTCTGACCAAGTTTGAAAAAAATCCATCCACTGGTTCTTGAGAAGAAGTTGAAAATGTAAAAGTTTACGCACGACGCACGACGGACGACGACGGACGAAAAGCGATTAGAATAGGTCACTTGAGCAAAGCTCAGGTGACCTAAAACAGCCCATCAATAAAAGTGGATTTCCACAAGGATTTTGTATAGTAGATTAATAAGGATTAAGTTGAATATTTTTTTTTTGATATGGAGCTATAACACAAAAAAACGGAGTGTACTCTAATCATTAACCGCCGCGGTTTATTTAGAGTACACTGCTTTTTGTGTTAGATCTCCATAAAATAAAAAAAATATTCAAGTTAATCCTTAACAATATGACTACACCGTGGGATGAGGAGGATTTATGTTGGTCCAAAAGTCAAGGTCACAGTGAGCCGTTGGGCAGAAACAGTTTCCAGTGCCTTTCCATCTAGGACCTTGAAAATGAACGGGATGGATTCCCTCGTAGTTAATGGTAAGTAAGTTGATAATGAGGTCAGTGACTGAAGAATATTTTTCAACCTTCATTCAAGAAACTTCACTGAATGACTACTAATGGGTCAGCTAGGAAACGACTGCTCTGCCATACAAACATTTCCTAATGGGATCTGGGGGTGTAAGTTGGTCCGAAACTTGCATCTGTAATAATTATTAATGTGGGCCATGAACAATATCATATTAAAGAAAATAAAAACAATTTTAGAAAATAAACTAAAAAAGAACATCATTCCAGTCGGATATCTTTTTGGAAACCGTATATTTTCTTCAATTGAAATGTTTGTAGACAACATACAGCTAGACCAGACTGGATTTAATAGCGTACTCGCTGGTATGGATATTGGGACAGCCTGGTTAAACCCAGCTTCATGAGATGAACAAACCACTGATGGGCTGGTATCGTTCAAGACTGATGTACTGTAAACAATAAATTGAGCACCGATAGATAACTCGCTGATCAAGGGAGGTAACTCTAAACACAGGATTTGTCTGGAATTCTACCCGGCAGAAAACATACCACAAACTCCAGACATATAGTTTATAAACATTCTTTTATTTTGTCATGAAAGTATTGATTGTAAAATAACATTTTTATTATGTATTCTGAAAACAGTTTACATATGCTTCTGTAACTTAAAGCTGTACACTATCTCTCCAACCATTATATGATCAACATTACAACTAGACTTCACAGGGGAACTAACTCTGTCAACACAAACTTCACAGGGGAACTAACTCTGTCAACAAACAACTTACAGTAACATCTGTAAAGCAGATAAACTATCTACATAAAATATAACGTCAACACTTGTACACACATAATGGCACACCGGTCAAAATGTGGTAAATACCACAATGTTCGGAGAGTACCACTCCTGTGTAATTCAATGTGTGTAGTATATGACACATGTACACCAATGTGGGTATAACACACCCTAGTAGGCTTCTCGAATATGTAATTGCTACAATATCACCTAACGCCTGTATTGATTGTAAAACCAGCGATTCATTTCTCCAGTCTGAAGTGATGGGAGCTGATAATCTTCCCAAAGATAAACCTTTTCGTATTCTTTGGATAAAAAAAATTGGGAAGAAATATGTGTAAAACAATGTCACTGAAAATTGAACCCAGTCACCTGTATTTGACTGAGTGATAGTATTATGGCACTGTTTGATTATAACAAGTAACATGGCAACTGTAAATATATTCACCCTTAGTATAACAGCACACATAATCAACAACATCAGTAGCAACTTATTTCACTCAGTGCTTTTACTTTTTTTTTTTACAAAACCTTTCCCAAATGTTTTGCTGATTTGAAATGTTAACAATCATATCTGGATTTCCTTAATCCATTTTCTCGAAAACATATTTTTGACTGCTAAATAAATACATAAAATCTAGTTCAAACTTTTGCCTTTGAACTTTCTGTAAGTTTTAAAAATTGAAAGCAAAACTAGAACAATATTATGCTGCTGTAATGATCCACTACACTGCTGTAAAGAAAATTATATAACTATAGCACTGTCTTGTAACAAATAACGTGTTTAATAAATAAAAGATGTGTCTTCATCTAAAACTAATCATCAATATCACAAGGATTTCAGTAACCAACTATTTGTTGAAGAAACTCAAACATATCAACCCATAGAGTAATGAAAGCCATCAGTTTACAATAGTGACTCGTCTGTGCGAAATCTTACTTAAAAACAGGGATTGCCTCCCCTGTTACCTACAAACTGCTCCATGCACTTTTATAAATATAGATCTGTTAATAATTATTTCATGCAAACAATCTCACTGGCAAAAACAACCAAGCATTCGATGTCTTTTGTGTTCAGTCGACCGTGACAACAATTTGATAAAAAACATAAATGTAATTGTATATAAAATACTAACAGTTGTTTTTACAGGGTGGTATGGACTTGCTCCACCCAGATCGTGGTCTATTGAGAGCCTACAATACAGACTGTAATCCCAACTGTACCCATCATCCTTACACCTCGATCTAAATAATCTACCATACTGTTATAACCTTTGTCCTATTAACAAGTCTCAATAACCTACCATCCTTATTTTATCCCGCGTACTAACAACCAGCTCTCAATAATCTGACATACAAGCTCGGTCCTATTAGTAATCAGTCATCTGACGATGTATCTTATTTATAATACATATTGACCACCGAACATACTGAAATGGCACATTGATCTTTTCAAAATTGCTTAACAAATGCACTGTAAAAGTAGTGCTCTATGAGTGCACACAATGATTTTATTAAATGTTGTTTGCGATGTAACATGTATAAAGACAACTTCTTTCTCACGACATCATTTCTTATTGTTTATGACAAAAGTATCTTGAAGACAGGACATATTGCCTGGCATTTGACCATTTGCCAATGAACCGTCAGTCTACCTTTTGATCATGTATTATAGCCAAATGACATCAACTAAAATGACCTGTCAGGAAGATGTTTGACAGCTGCCATAGGTGATCACTGGTTCATTGAACACTACATCGTGGATTTCAAACAGACAAACCTAGAGCAGATGAACTGTTCATTTTGTCAGATACATGTTTAAACAAATAACAAAAAAAAACAAAAAAATCCTCTTGTGCAAAATTCTAAAAGAGTATAAAAATTGTGTTACAATGGTCATGGATCGGGTAGTCATGATGTTATAAAATGCTGATAAAATTAAAACTGGTGTAAGTACCAGCGAACCATGATGTTTTATATTATTCAATAAAACTGGTGTAAGTACCGGCTAACCATGATGTTTTGTGTGGTAGAAGATTCAATAAAACTGGTGTAAGTACCGGCTAACGATGATGTTTTGTGTTATTCAATAAAACTGGTGTAAGTACCGGCTAACCATGATGTTTTGTGTTATTCAATAAAACTGGTGTCAGTACCGGCTAACCATGATGTTTTGTGTGGTAGGTGATTTAATGAAACTGCAGATTTTACATAATAACAGTGCTTGACCCTTTTCTCCACATCAAAAGAAAACATTGATATTGAAATGTACATAAAATATGCGTAATTGTTTTTAATTTCATATGCAAGTCATATATATCATGCACAATTGTGCAATGTTTTAAAATGTGGGGGAAGGCTTATCTTTGAGTGGAGTGATCGTTGATGAAACAATGTTTACAATGTAAAAACAAAATGTACTTTTGAGTGGAGTGATCGTTGATGAAGCAATGTTTACAATGTCAACAAGGGCTGTACTTTTGAGTGGAGTGATCGCTGATGAAGCAATGTTTACAATGTAAACAAGGGCTGTACATTTGAGTGGAGTGATTGCTGATGAAACAATGTTTACAATATAAAAGAAGACTATTTTTGAGTGATTGCTGATGATGTCAACAAAGGACTAGATATGACAAGCAATGAAGATACACTGTAGCTTTGACCATTTACCTGAAGAATTTTGGTTCTATGCCATTTTGAAATGAATATAACAAGCAAAATGCATTCAAATCAAGGCTGATAAAGGTAGATAACTCAGGAAATATCTAAAAAGAGATGAAATTCCCATCAGTAACTTCTTATCATGAGCAGATCTATATTGTACAACCTTTTTACTACTTAGACCAATTCAGTTCCTAACAGTTATGTCATGTCTATATTAACATGTATCACAGACCTGCTCATATTTAAGAATTAGCTTATTTGATCAGAAACGTTCGGCATTTATTTTCCCTATTTCTATGGACTTTCACCAGATTTTGAGCGGGATATATTGCCATCAAATGATTTAGAGTGATGAAAAGTAATCACCATGTCTTTAACAGTGAAAATCAGTAAATTGTTTGCTAAACATTTTGTTTTAGAATTTTGGAAAATATTAGAGCCAAAAACACATCTTCTCATACCTTGTTCTTTGATAAATATAACACTAAAATGTATAGCACCATTGTTTGAAATAAAAGAAGAAAAACAAATAACCAACATGCAGGCATTTGAAACCTCTTTCAGTGGAAGTATTGGTGAAGTACACCGTTCAACTGGCAATTTTGAAACCTGACAAGTGTACCAGATGGGTTGTACACAGGAACCTGGGATCTCACAATCCATGCTGTGTTGCTGGACTCCCCGTTTAGTGGACAAAACCTGTTTCGTATTCTCTAAGCAAACATTTTAAGTGATACCGCTAACACCAATTTCTTAGGAATTCTAAATCTAAGATACAGGTATCCCCACTACTAGGCACAGACTAGCTCACAAAAGTAGAGTTCAGACACAGATTAACTCACAAAAGTAAAGTTCAGACACAGACTAGCTCACAAAAGTAAAGTTCAGACACAGATTAACTCACAAAAGTAAAGATACAGTCCAGGTAGGAACATGACTAATCCACAGAAGTACAGTCCAGGTAGGAACATTACTAATCCACAGAGGTACAATCCAGGTAGGAACATGACTAATCCACAGAGGTACAGTCCAGGTAGGAACATGACTAATCCAGAGAGGTACAGTCCAGGTAGGAACATGACTAATCCACAGAAGTACAGTCCAGGTAGGAACATTACTTATCCACAGAGGTGCAGTCCAGGTAGGAACATGACTAATCCACAGAGGTACAGTCCAGGTAGGAACATGACTAATCCACAGAAGTACAATCCAGGTAGGAACATGACTTATCCACTCTTTTTTGTAGCAATTATGGCCCTACTCGGCACTGGTAATATACAGGTAGCTCGCAGGATTCACTTCTGTAGCGACATCGGCCAGGCAATATTGGCTGCTGTACGTTTGTAGGCAAACACACAGTTCTTCTTGCTATTCTGGTGTTCTGTTTTCAGATCCTGAGGAATTTCAACATCCTGTAATCTCCTCTCTACAAAACAACAAGATACATTATTACACTTTGAATTCATAAATATAAAACTGATAATTTATATAAAGTAACAGCCGAAGCACACACAAAATGTTTGTTTGGGGTTAAACATTCTTGAATTATCCATGGTGATATGAAGATTGGTGCTTAGGGAGACTGTGTCAAAAAAAGAAATAGGAAAATAGGATAATAAGGAAAAATAAAGAGGTCCTAAGACTAGAAATGGGGACAGCAAATCAATTTGGGTTTCTTCAGTGTCCCCTTAGTAGAGGACGCAGAAGGAAACGCCCAATTCTGTCGGGGCGCCACATTAGGCTGCCTCTTACAACATGTAGTCAGATACAACTTGCCTATTCTTTCCCCCCAAACCTGTAAGGACCAGCGATAAAAGTCCTCTCCAGTCATTACATTGTTATTACATGGTATAACAATGTCAATACATTGGTTGTGCTCTCCTTACAGTATTCACCACCATCATTTCACACAATTACTCACTACTTCACTATGATACATCTAATATACCTATTACAGTATCATACCTACAATGTTACACTCTCACTGTTGTCACGTCGGTGACTTACCTTCCCCTTTGATGAGTATGTATAGACCGTAGTCCTGAGGGTTAGTCACCTTGAATTTGTGGGCTATAAGAGTACCTGTAAATGACATATAGGAAAATAAATTAATCGACAGATCAAGATTTTTACAATTTTGCAGATTTAGAACTGACCATAGTTTATTTGGAAGGTTTGTTAGGATGCAGTAGGCTTTGTTTCAAAGTTTCTAGTGACACATGTAGGTACATGTATGTTAGATACTCACACACTTCCTTGGTGTGCATCTTGGGTCGGACAGGTAGCGTTTTCCATATGATGCTGTCCCTGAGCTCATCAGGAATGGCAATCTTTAGGAAACCCTGTATGTCCTCTATACCTGGCAGGTGGCCCTAAAAATACAATACAACAGTGTCATCAACCAGCCCAATCTAAACAACAACAGACACTAATGTCATCATAAACCCCATCAGGATTTTAAAGTCAATGATGATATCAAAAATTATTACGATGTGATTTGAGGAGTAATTTCATGCAGGGATATCAGTCAATACCTCATGTTGTGTAGCCTGTGTTTCCTGCATGTCCCGGAATCTTTTGAGGACGAGGACGGCACTGCTGAGAGAGGTGAGGTAGTACCCACCCTCTCCATTGAGTAGGGAGGGATGGATGAGGCCCCAGATGTAGTCTGACTCTATCTCGGCAGTAACAAACCCACAATGCACCAGCACATAGATCATCATCGGCAAGAAATCTGTAACAGGTACGAAATATTGATCAGCATTAGAAATCAATTATTTATCTAACTTTTACTTCATCAACACTGTTAGACATCGTCAATATATACCACTGATTACATTCTGAACAGGTACCCATATTTAATCACTATTTGTACATCAAATTCTGTTGAGATACAGACTAATAAGGATGTGTTGGCTGATAGAATGTGAACAACTGAGACCTACCATCAGCTCCCATAGGGACAGGCCCGGGTCTGGCATGTACTGGCTTGTTCGTCTGTAACAGGGATAACGATTGGTTAGAATATGTAGTAGTGCGGTACAATGAGAACATCTCGCCTGCAAAGCTAGAGGCCAAGTATTACAAGCAGGACCAATGTATAATATATAAATATATAAGGGTCATGAGACCCGATTTCATTGCATGTATTTGACATTCCATCATACCAAAACATACACACATACAAAATTTGGCAATTAAGGTGACAAAGAATATGAGATAAACCTTTGATTAGGCGATGCACAATGAACTAAGGGCCATAACTCTGTATAGTTGGTCACCAGACCTGATTTTAGTATGTAACACTCTGCCATCCCATGAGGTAATCACATACAGACACTGTCAATTGCTGTATACAGAGTATATAAGATATGTTCTGGAAATGGTGACTTACACACTGATAGATGATGGAGGTCGCACCAAGGAGATACTCCAACTTCTTCAGGGGCGAGTACGCCTTCTGCATCTTCATGAGATATTGCTTGATAGACTCCATCACAGTGCTGTCTGGGGGCGAGATTCCAGGCTGAAATATTATCAAACAGGTTAAATATAGGTTACAAAAAAACATTTTATATTACCTTGCAAAAGTTATTCATGTAATTTGATGACCTATTTCATATACAGTTTAAACAGGTTCCATGATATCTACAGTTGTACATTCTATACAATTCTACCAACGATCTTGATAGCCTTAAACCAGTAGGAATTATATTCTTACCCTTAAGCCAATCTCTTCTGGAGACTTTGTTCTAGCATAGCGAATGTTTTCAGAGAGATTCTTCACACTGCCGTTTCTGTAACAGAATTTAAGTTAATTTTCCATTGTTCATATTGACATATTATTTGAAATGATGATAAAGGAAACAGAGTCAGACACTGTACCAGTGTTTAATAGTTATTTTTTTATTGTGTTGTATGGTATTTAGTATTTCACTTTTGCATTGCCCTGTAAATACTGACAAAGTACCACTCTCGACAATTCAAGTCACCCAAGAACATTATATTTGTCTGAATATAACTAAACATTGAACTTGGGTCGATTTTAATAGAACATGTCCAGGATACTAAACAGATCGTTGTTGGAATATTGAACAGAACTTCATGGACAGGACTCTCATAAAACTGCTCCAATGAAGGAGATGATTGGAATTCCCTTTAGCAAAGTCAGAGACAAACTGTAAGTAATATAGTAACAACCTATGGGATGCGAGTAACAAACTGTGAGTAATGTAGTAACAAACTGTTAGATGGAGTGAGTAATAAACCGTGAGTAATGTAGTAGCAAACTATTAGATGGAGTGAGTAACAAACCGTGAGTAATATAGTAACAAACTATGGGATGGAGTTAGTGCCAAGCTTTGAGTAATGTAGTAACACCCTATGGGATGCGAGTACCAAACTGTGAGTAATGTAGCAACAAACTAGGGGATGGAGTGAGTAACAAACCATGAGTAATGTAGTAACAAACTATGGGATGGAGTGAGTGACAAACTTTGAGTAATGTAGTAACAACCTATGGGATGGAGTGAGTAACAAACTGAGTAATGTAGTAACAAACTATGGGATGGAGTGAGTAACAAACCGTGAGTAATGTAGTAACAAACTATTAGATGGAGTGAGTAACAAACTGTGAGTAATGTAGTAACAAACTATGGAATGGAGTGAGTAACAAACTGTGAGTAATGTAGTAACAAACTGGGGATGGAGTGAGTGACAAACCGTGAGTAATGTAGTAACAAACTTTTAGATGGAGTGAGTAACAAACCATGAGTAATGTAGTAACAAACTATGGGATGGAGTGAGTGACAAACCGTGAGTAATGTAGTAACAAACTATTAGATGGAGTGAGTAATAAACTGTGAGTAATGTAGTAACAACCTATGGGATGGAGTGAGTAACAAACCATGAGTAATGTAGTAACAAACTATGGGATGGAGTGAGTGACAAACCGTGAGTAATGTAGTAACAAACTATTAGATGGAGTGAGTAA